TGTGACCCACAGGTTTTGAAGTCATACTAATCCCCATTTCCCTTCACCAATGTCCCTAGCTCTGATACAGAACAGGTATCTATAATAGATTTTAATGAAAGCAGATAAATTCTCACCCTTCCCTTCTATACTCCCTGATTTGGTTCCCACATAAAACCTCATCTAGCCAGATGGTGGTGGTACATGCCTGTAATCCTAGCACTAGGGAGAAAAGAGACAGGTGGATTTCTATGAGTTCAAGGTCAGCCTCGTCTACCGAGTGAGTTCCGGGACAACCAGAGCTATTACACAGAGAAACCTTGCCTCGAAAAAACAAAACACACACACACACACACACACACACACACACACACACACACACACACACACACACACACACAAAAAAAAAAACCTCATCTATATAAGATTAAAATGTGCTTCTTTCCATACTCCCCATTCTAACAATCTTTTCTTATTACTTGGTTCTCTTTTTTCATATATACATACTCTATGGTTTCTGTCATCTGAAACACCAGACTCTCGGGCCAGTGATACTACACAAGGCTAACTGGTCTCTACGCACAGTGCTCTAGCTCTCAGTCTACTCGCCTAGAAATTACCAGAGACAGCCTCCAAAAGATGCAAAGTCACAGACCCCTTTATCTCAAGATAAGGGCCAATGTCCTTCACAGGGTCAGCAGTGCCCTTCTGTGAGCTAACTTCTATTCTGCCTACCTTGCCAGTCCTGTTATCACCACATCCACTCAGCTGAGACTTTACACTTGATCTGAGAATCTTGAGAAATTCATTTAATTCCCAAGATGCTTTCCTCACCTACAGGATGGCAATAATTTTAGCTACCTCTAAAGGAAGAAGCTAACAAATGTTAAATGCCTACAATTGTACCCAGTACAGTAAGTAAACAAAAGTCTCATATAACATCATTACCATTACTCTAGAATTACAGTTCTTTCTGCCTTGAATAGTCCTGTCTCTGCCTCTACTGTAGCTCCCCAAATTTCATTTTCCTGGCTTACGTTTAGCCCTAACAAACTTCTCCAAGGATGCCCTCTTGACCCAACAATGCTAGGTTAGACATCATCTCTCTATGCTTTCAAGGGCCTGTCCTTGTCACAACACTTCTCAGACTGTTCTAAGACAGTCTTAGCTACATAGTAAAACCCTTCCTCCAAAAAAAAAATTTGTTTTTTAATTCAGTAAATTAAAAAACTTTCCAATAATGAGGTGTCCATTGAAACAAGTAGACATCTGGAATGCTAAAAAGAAGTCTGGTCTAAATAGCAATGCAGACCAATCCAAGGTCTGGAGATGGCTCAATGGTTAAGAACACTAGCTACCCACCCTCCCTGGGGAAAGGAGGGGATATTGGAGGGGTTGGTGGGAGGGCATGGGAAGAGGGGAGGGGAAGGGAGAGGAACCTGGGTTTGACATGTGAAGCAACCTTGTTTCTAATTTAAATTTAAGTTTAAAAATAAAAATAAAAATAAAAAAAAAAAAGAGCACTAGCTACACTCCGGGGGACCTGGTTGACTCCCACCACCCACGTGGCAGCTCACAACTGTCTGAAACTTCAGTTAGTCTAGGGAATCTGACATCATCTTCTGGCCTCCTTGGGCACTGCACTACACATAGTACACAAACACATATGCAGACCGAACACCCATACACATAAAATAAAAACAAATCTATGCACGAACTCCATGTTCAATCTCAAGAACCACAAAAAAAGAGAGAAAATGGCACTTTATCAAACATACTATTCAACACACTGACTAGTATATAGGCAATGTAGGCTATCAGATTTTTAGAGAGCAGAACATAACCAAGTTCGTTGTCCTAGCCCCCATCTCTGGAACACTCCCTACTCTCCAAAGTCACATTACTATCAGAACAAAATTCCAGCCAACTTTCATAAATATAAAAATCTCACAAGACACAGAAACAGATTAACCAACGTGAATTTTGAAAGGCTCAATGTAACCCTAACCCCACCCTAACCACCTATTGCAGTGAGGATTCACAAGATTCTAAGACTCCAGACTCCAAACTCTAATCCTTTCTGTGTACCTTGATGCAAAGAGAGACACAAAAGGGGAGCTTGTCATTGAGGTAATTAATCCACCTAATCAGCTGACAAATTTAATCCAAGCTGCTGTCATAGTCTGCTACGCCTGATTACTACAGCTGTACACCCAAACCTGCAAAGACTATGGAGCAGTCTGGGTTCTAGTTCAAGGGTAGAAGGAAGATCTCCCTCTGAAAATACAGGGGCTAGTGTAATTCCAGAACTGGCTTCCAGCATTTAAGTTTCAACTGTAGTGTGGAGAAGGGGGCTTTGCCAGAGACACAACCAGGCCTGGATTCCTGCTCTAGGGATGTCATTCTCTGCTACAGATGAGAACTAGTATATCATTCTGCATTTATCCAACACTGAAATGAAGGCAGGTAATGCAAGCTTTGGCAATCGCAAAAGGACAACGATTGAATTATTTCATTTCACTGTGAAGGTTCTAGATTAGTCAAATTTACAGCAAACAGAATGGTGTTTGCCAGGAATCTTCAACAAGAAGTTAAGTGTTTGACTAGGAGTTTCAGTTAAAAAAGGTAAGGTAATTTGGGATATCAGCTGTACAACAACGAAAAGTATACTTACTCCCACAGAATTGCACTGTAAAATTGTTGCAATGCCAACTATTTAAAATATGACATACATGTATGACACAATTTCTGAAAGGATCTGATTTTACTGTTACTGTCTGCAGAGTGAATCCAGCATGGTCAATTACATGGCCCTAGGCAAGTGAGGTAATCTTTCTTTAAGCCTGTTTCTTCTATAAAGCAGGAATAATACTTAGTTCATAGATTGTTCCAAGGAATAAATGATATGGTCCACTAAAAATCTTCAGTCCTATGACTGATTAATAGATGTTAGCTATTATTACTGCAACAAACATTTTCAAAATCATTTTCTTGTCTCCACAGTACCCTATGAAACTTTACATGTAAGAAAACAGACTCAAAGGGCTACAAGGAATGACTTAGCTCCTTGTAGAAGTCAACACCAGTTAAATCCTGTGATCCCAAAGCAAATGTCCTAATCTGTCTATACTGCCTGACACATAAATCAAGCCCTTCACACTAAATTAGAAAACAGACAATACTGAGTACCTAAACCATTAGGAAACTAAAAGAAATGTGTTAACTTAAAATACAGACACCTGCTTTTTAGACATGAGGCACAGAAAGTGGCTCAGACTACAAAGTCTTTTGAGATGATCAATTGAGACTCCTGATCTTGAGGCCTGAGAAAGTAGTTTGTGTTCAACAAATAACAACATACTGTGGGGGGGGGTCGGCACTAGACTGGAAGGCTACCAGGAATTCTAGTAATCACCAAGGTAGTCTTCTTTAGACAACCTTCCCTTTCAAGGATCAGTTAAAAGCAAAGAATGGGTGGTCTATTGAGCCATCAAACTTGTTTATTCCACCACTACTAAATCTAGAATCTTAAGGGGGAAGCACAGCAAACCTACAGGTCAGAAGAACTAATGCAAACATGAGAGCCTCAAGACCCGGCCCTGTCTGATTTTACAGATGATCCCCACAACCAATATCAAACTCACTGCCGACAGAAAACAATTGCAAAGTTCATTTTGGTTCACTTTAACCCCTCTAGGCCTCATTGGGAAACAAAGAAAAGTAACACTATTTGAAGGCAGGGAGTTGAAGCACTTAACTTGAGCCGCCTACACCCCTGACCTTCCAACTAAGACCATGGAGAACACACACGACTTGAGGTGCAATAAAGCAGAAGGTGGACTTCGGTGAGGTCCTTAAGCTCAGAACTTCATTTAAGTTCAGAACTTAAGCTCAGAACTTCATTTAAGTTCGAGGCTCGGAGATCTCTGGATGTAGCTAATCACACCACCAGCAAATCAAATTAATCCTAATCACCTTTCCCTCAGAGTTCTGGTAGCAACAAAAGGGGATATGTGGCAGATAGGTCAATGTCTCAGGGAGGAACCGTTTCTTAACTATACGGTGTTCGTCCTAACGGTAAATCAAAATGCCCTCTGAACAAGAGATGACACATGCTCATATCAGGAAGCAAGCAACAGTTACTAACAGCTTTGCACTTCTAAGGCTATTTCATTTCTCTGCAACTAGATTTCTGCCCCTTTGAGTCGGGACAACTCTGGAAGACCGCTGCGGACATTAGGCGATACATCCACGAAGTCCCTGGGTCAGCCTAACCGAACGTCACCTGTTGGCATGTAACGCTTCTGTCATGTACTAACTCCCTTCCTGAATTCACTAACATCCTTCGAGGCTGCGTCCCTTCTTGACCCCATTTCACCCAAGAGAAAACTGAGGCTCGGCCGCTAAGAGGACTAGAGCAAGGTGTGGGACCCAGTCCCGGTTCGAGGGCTGGTCGTCCCCAGGTGACAACGACCAAAGGATAGGCAAGGGTGGCGGGCGAGGCTCTCGAACCAGCGCGGGGGAGGACCAGTTTTGCGCGCCTAAGAGAACCCAAAGAGCTGGCCCGAGATGGAAAGCCGGAAAAAGTCCGGGTGGCCCCGACCAAGGCCAGGGCCAGGCCCCAGCCCGCCCGAGGCCTCCCGGGCGCAACCTCCGCTCCTCCCCTCGCCGGTCGGGGCGGGGCGCGAGCACAAAAGACTCCAACTTCCGAGCGGGCGCCGGCCCACCCCCAACTCCTGGCCCCGGCCCGGCCTGCTGACCAGAGGCAAGCTGCGAACGCCAGGCGGCCAAGAGCGAGCGCGGGTAGCCCCGGGCAAGGCTCCCCGGGGCGGCGGGCCTGGAAGGGGAAGCTCAGAGGGAGGGCGCCGAGAGTTACTCCGGCTCCCAGGACTGCAGGCACAGCCGGAAAAAAAAATAGTTTCTAAAAATAGGCAACGGCCCGCCTGAGGAGCTGAGCCACGAAAAGGCACAAGGAACAGCCCGCCCGCACTCCTCCGGAGCGGCCCGCGGCCCCCACTCACCCGCGCTGAGATCTGGAGGAAGCCGCGCGGCGCGGAAGGCGACGGCGCGGCCGCTCTCGGAGGGCGGGCGGGAGGGAGGGAGAGGCGGCCCCGGCCGCCGCGTGAGGAGCCGGAGCACACGCGCGACAGTCGCGACCGCTTCCGCCCCCTCAGCTTCCCTCGGCTCCGCGCCCCGCGCCGCTCGCGCGCCCCGCCGCACTGACAGAGGCGCGAGCCCCGCAGCCACGAGTCCTTCTCTCGGCCGCCACCACTCGGGCGCGCGCGGGGAGGGGAGGGAAAGACAGGCCTCCGCACACGGCCTGCCCGCCGCCTCGCCTCCGGCCCGCTTCTCGTCTGCGTCCTCCTGGGCGGACCGTGCCACCGGAGCCGCCCGCCACCCGAGCACTCAACCCTCAGCGCCGCCCTGCCCCGGCCCGGCTCTCCAAACGCGTGGGCTCCCTGCGCACCCCTGCGCCTGGCTTTGGAAAGCTCCAGAGCTTCGGCGCGGAGAGGAGGAGGGCGGGCCCGGGGCGGGGCCTGACGGGAGGAGGGGCGGAGGTAGCTGGCTGGGCTGAGGGAGAGGAGCTTGAGGCTTCCACCCGCGGGGAGCTGAAAGCGGAGCGGGGGGTCCCCGGGACGACGGACCGGACCACCCTGGGGAGGAGCAGGCTGAGGGCGGAGCCGACGGGAGAGCGTGCCCAGAGGAGGAGACTTAGGGCCGGGCGGGGGCCTAGGGACGCGGAGGCGGTGCTAAGAGAAACCCAGAAGCCGCGAGGTTCCCGCGGGCCTGAAGGAGGTGGGCCTGGAAGCAGAGCGAGCTGGAGTGGGTGTGAGGTAAACCCTGAGCAGGAGCCGGAAGGAGGAGCGACGGGGTGGTGCTTGAGTGGGCGAGGCCTGGAGAGGGGCCCCCCACGGTTAGCCGTGGCGATGTGGGCAGGGCCCTGAAGTAATCAGAGCCGGGTTATTTCACTTTCTAGGAATTAGAATGCTGCCACTCTGCGTAGACTAGGGTTGGGCGGAGAGGCTTCGTGTCCAGGGTCTGGGTGCCTCTCCTAAAAGGGGGGGGGGGGGGGGGGGAAGCTTACTCGAGCTGTTTTGTCCTTACGAGATGAAATATTTTCTTACTTAACCTGGGTGCTCTTAAATAGTTCTTGTGTCAGGATCTCCCATTCGAATCAATGTTTCGGTCTCTCATATCCACATCTCCCTCTGGCCTCCCCAGACAATCAGAGGTCTGAGAGCACAAGCGGGACCATTGTCAGCTCTGGCTACAGACCTCCCAGAAGGCTGGATTCCCCATCCCCCGCAGACCTGTGATTTGTTTGAGGCAGGGACTCATGTAGCTAAGTCTGGCTTTGAACTTGCTCTGTAGCCAAAAATTGAACTCCTGATCCTCCTGCCTCTAGCTTCCAGCTGCTGGAATCACAGCGATGCCAGGCCTTTTAGGTGGAGAAGGGGTGATTCAAACAGGTTCTCAAGCCTTGCAGAACCGCTCCACCACTAACCCGTCTCCCCAGCGCCAAGACCAGGGGTTCTTTACTGATTTTTTTTTACGTTACTGTGTTCCCCAAACCTGTACAATGCCTGTCACAGCTGAAGTAAGTAATGTCTAGTGCTCAATAAACACTGCCATCCATCGGTCCAGACTACCTTTTCTTCCTTCTCTGTGCAGTAGTCTTACCATATTTGTTTGAATGTACCTGTCTATTTTTGTTGTGTTTGCTTTTGTTGTTGTTGGTTTTCCGAGATGGGGTTTCTCTGTGTAGCCCTGGCTGACCTGGAACTCACTTTGTAGACCAGGCTGTCCTTGCAGATGGGGCTTCTGCAGGTCCCCCACCCCTCCCTCACCCCGCCCCACCCCCCCACCCCCGCCACCTTCTGTTGTGGCGGTCTCACTTTTCCACTTCTCTCCAGACACCTCCAGTTCATCCAATACTCAACTCAGGAGCCACCTCCTCTGAGGAGCGGTCCCTGAACTCTCAACCCCACAGCTACGAGAGTTGCAGCTGGTGCCCTGCTCTGTCCATGGCTTGCATTATGAAAACACTGCAGAACAGTCTCGCTCGAGTTCTTCCTTGTGTAATGTATCACTGGTTACCCCTCTGACACGGTGTAAGTTGCAGTCTGCTGCTTTGCTCTGGCTATGTCTTGGTCTTTTTCCTGGTCTATAACATACTGCTCCTTCTGGGCCTTTGCCTTTGCTGTTGTGTTGGCCTCCTAGGTATTGGATTGGCTCATGTAAATGGAGTTCTTAATTGGTCTAGATAATAAAAAGCCAGAATCGGATATGGAGGGAAATGCTGAGAGATCAGAGAAGGAGCAAGCCACAGCACACTTTATCTCCTTAGCTTCTGAGCAGACAAGAGAACGGATTTCCTGTTTCTACCTGCTTATATCCTGTTTCTGCCCAGCTATCTCACTTCCTGTCTGTCTGTACAGACCTCCAGACCTCTATGGTTAGCTAGTGGCAAGCTCCATTCTCTGACCCCCAGGCAGGCTTTATTTGTACAAGCAAGATCACTCCTCACCATCTTGACAGTTTCCTTTTCTTTCCTTTCTTCTTTTTTTAAAGTGTTTTTCTGATAAGATCTTTCCATGTAGCTCCCTAGCTGTCCAGTAACTCACCATGTAGACCAGGCTGGCCTCAAACTCCCAGAGAGTTCTCAGTCTCTTGAGTGCTGGGATTAAGGTGTACACTACTATGGCCAGCCATTTTCAGACTTTTTAAAGAGAAGTCTTACACGGTCAGGAGCACGCCTTTAATCCACACACCTGGGCAGGGCAGATCTCTGGGAGCTAGAGGCCAGCCTGGTCTACAAACCAACTCTGAAGACCAGTTAGTTAAGGCTATACTGAAACTATCTTTAAAGAAATACATGCATTCACACATACTTACATAAAGTCTTACCTGTCCACATTTTATGTAACAGCTCTTCACTTCTTACACCCTTTCTCAGTGGATTCTTCTCCATAGCAATGTCCCATCTGAAATCTGTATATCTGCTTATTGTCTCTTTCCACACAGTATGATCAACATAAGGACAGGCTGTTGTCTGTTTTATTTGCTCCTCAGTGCATAAAATAGTAGACCCCTTCGTTTAATGTTTGTTTTACGGTTGGCTATAACAAATTCAACCAAGAAATGTCAAGAAGACTTTATGTAATGCCTAAAACAATCTAACAAGATGAGAATTTGAAGGGAGATGTTTCTAAGGAAATACTGGCAACACTAGCTAACAGTTATGGAGCACTAACTAGTTGCTAGGCAGTGAACTGACTGCTTTTCAAACGTATTTAATCCTCATAACAGCCTTATGAAATATGTACTATTAAAATCCCCATAGAGGAACAAGCAGTCATGAAAGAGGTTAACTTTCCCAAAACCATACAGCTGGAAAATGATGGAGTCCAATTTTAGAATCTACATGCTTAATGAATATGCTATGTCCTCCCTAATTATTTTTAACACTTATCTTAAGTGTATGAGTGTTTTGACTACATGTATGTGTCTGAATGGGTCAGAAGAGGGCATCAGGTCCATTAGAACTGGAGTTATTGTGAGCCACCTTGTGGGTACTGGGAAATGAACACAGATCCTCTTCAGGGGCAACAAATGCTTAACTGATGCTGAACCGGATCTCCAGTCTTCCTAAATTATTAAAAACCCAAGGCAGGGCCATGGGGTGGTGGTGCTCACCTTTGATCGAAGCACTTAGGAGTCAGAGCAGGTGGACCTCTGTGAGTTCGAAGCCAGTCTGGTATACACAGTGAGTTCCAGAATAGCCAGGGCTATATAGAGAAACCCTGTCTCAAAAACAAATAAATAAAAACTTTTTTAAAACCCAGGGTAGTTACTCAATAAAAGGAAAGAATGAAGAAGAGATATTCTTTTGTTTCCTGGATAGCATAATCTAATATAACACCTACCATCACAGCAGAATTTTTTTCCCTCAGTTACCATGAGGGACATCAGTCAGAAGATGTAGAAGTTTTGGAAGACAGAATCTAGAAAATAATTTCTGAAAAATTGAATCAAAAACCTAATGAAACTGTTCAGAAGATACGCTCACTTCTGAACTTTTTACTTGGTGGTGGTGTTACATGTGTATATGTTGGTATGTATCTGTCTGTGTGTGTGTACAGAGGTTGACATGGGTGTTTTCTGTCATCTCTCCCCACCTTTAAAAGCAAGCTTTTATGCTGTATTTATTCCCATACTGTAGGTTTTTGTTTCTTCTGGGATATCTTCTTCTTCTTGCTTGGGAACTCTTTATTCTAGAAGCTCATGTATGGGTTCATCTGACCCTGAGCTCTGTAAATTCAGGGCTGCATCTTAGGTACTTTGTTCATCTGGACATGTTCAAAGACCAGAGAGTCCACATCCAAATAGTTAAGTTCAGTATTATGTAACGTGATTCTTCCTGCCAGCCTGACCCCTGAGCAGCATCAGTCCCAAATGAACATGCAGGATGCTATGTTAATTATAAAGCTGTTGGTCGTTTGCTATGGTTTCTTATTGGATAGCTCTGACTTAATTATTAACCCATAACTGCTAATCTGAGTATTTCCACATGGTCTTCTCTTACTGGAGAAAGGGTCCGGACCTCTTCTATCGTGTCCTACATGGTGACTGACTGTGCCTCTGTTTTCTTGATGCCTAGTCCCACATATCTTGCTTCCCTATTGACCAACAATGCTTTATTCATCAACCAATAAGACAAACATACACAGAAGGACTTCCCCCATCAGTATTACTGTCTGCATTTTAAGTGTGTCCAGAAAAAGCCCAACACCTTTTTTAGGCCATCAAGACCAGCCATAGTGTTTGACCTTGAGACACCACCCGGTTCTACCATTATACTGACAGAATGGCACACATTGCTTCTTTAAAGTGACATCTTTCAGACGAGCATTACATTGACCACCTGAGTGGACAGTTTTACAGGTATTCTCATATGCATGGAGGCTTGAACTACTTGATTTGACTGAGTTTGTAGTGTTTTCTTGGTTAAGAGGGTATTAGACCATTTCACAGATCACCTCGGACCACTTACACTGCAAGTCTTATAGGAAGAGACTTTTAAAAAATATTTATTTGATTTGATTTCTATTTTATGTGTGTAGGTATTTTGCCTGCTTGCATGTCTGTGCCC